CTGCAAGCATCTCCAGTTACAAAATCTCCACCTTGTATTTATCTAAACAATGTGTATAGCCACTCATCTCATGTAGTTGATTCTGGGTAGCTTACAATACACTGAAGTGGTACAATAACACACGCACATGCCCAAATTAACACTCTTTCAACCACAGAACATTCTGTAACCAGTGCCACTTAAGTTACTCATACTTGCAATCGTTTGGCCATTCAGCTAGGCTTTCCTAGAACCTTGGCCAGGCACTTGAAAGAATCAGAATAAGAATAGAGATGGAAGGGACAACTAGTCCAACCTCCTGCTCAAGCAGGAGACCCTATACCACTTCAAACAGGTGGCTGTCCAGTCTCTTCTTAAAAACTTCCAGTGTTGGAGCATTCACCGCTTCTGGAGGCAGGTTGTTCCACTGGTTAATTGTTCTAACTGTCAGGAAGTTTCTCCTTAGTTCCAGGTTGCTTCTCTCTTTGGTCAGTTTCCACCCGTTGCTTCTTGTCCTGCCTTCAGGCGCTTTGGAGAATAGCTTGACTGCCTCTTCTTTGGGGCAGCCCCTGAGATATTGGAAGACTGCTATAATGTCACCCCTACTCCTTCTTTTCTCTAGACTGGCCAAACCCAAATCCTGCTATCATTCTTCATATGTTTCTGAAAGATTAACCAGGATGAGGCCAACCAAACCTCAGAGGGGCAGCTACTCCAGAGGATAGGGGCCACAACAGAGAAGACACCTCTCCTAGGACCTGCTAGATGACACTGCTTCTACAGAAGGGATCTGGGACCTGAAAAGCAGCTCCTGAGCAGTGATCACTAAAAGATCTGTTTCCCTCCACAGCCCAAGAAAGCTATTAGAAAGAGAATCAGAACATTTGTACCCTGAAGAAACAAGGATATATTGCTTTAAAATGGGGAATAATTCAGTTGTTGAAATTTCTGTAAACCCATCCCCTTTGTCTCAACGCATCTTGCTAAAGAGATGATGTGGCAATCTTGCTCGCAAAGAATCACTTTAGGCTAAGAAGACTTACACTGGGTTTGCACACTAAGTGACAAATAAACAAATGAGCCCCGATGATGTTATCTAGTTTGGGTAATGAAACATCTGCAAGAAGATAACCAAGCTCAGAGAAGCACCAAGGACTCCACAGTCATCGTCATCCTCCTCCTCCTCCTCTTCCTCCTCCCCCTCCGCCTCCTCTTCCGCCCCTACTCCCTTCTAGCACTGATGATGTTACCTAGTTCGGCAATGAAACATCTGCAAGAAAACAAGCAAGCTCAGAGAGCACTAAGGACCCCACGGTCTTCCTCCTCCTCCTCTGCCTCCCCCTCCTCTGCCTCCCCCTCCTCTTTCTCCTCCTCCTCCCCTACTCTCTTCTAGCACTGATATGTTACCTAGTTGGGTAATAAAATGTCTGCAAGAGAACAAGCAAGCTCAGAGAGCACCAAGAACCCTACAGTCTTCCTCCTCCTCATCTGCCTCTNCTGATATGTTACCTAGTTGGGTAATAAAATGTCTGCAAGAGAAAAAGCAAGCTCAGAGAGCACCAAGGACCCTACAGTCTTCCTCCTCCTCATCTGCCTCTTCTCCTCTTTCTTCTCCTCCTCCTCCTCCTCCTCCTCCCCTACTCTCTTCTAGCACTGATATGTTACCTAGTTGGGTAATGGTCTGCAAGAAAACAAACAAGCTCAGAGAGCACCAAGGACCCTACAGTCTTCCTCATCATCATCTGCCTCTTCTCCTCTCCTCCTCCTCCTCCTACCCTACTCTCTTCTAGCACTGATATGTTACCTAGTTGGGTAATGGTCTGCAAGAAAACAAACAAGCTCAGAGAGTACCACGGACCCCTCAAAAAAAAACCCCTAAGACTTCAATGGACTTGCTAGCCAGGTTGAGCAAACCCATCCAGTGAGTTTTCAAGATTGAAGTTCAGCTTGATTCTAGAACTCCCAGGTCCACCAAATCCTTTCTTCAACCACCTGCTTTTTCCATTATGACCTCAGGCCTCTGTTGACTTCACAGCGCTATGGAAACCTAGTTTTGTTCCAAAAGCAGAAAAAAGTCCCCGCCTCATCTATCCATGGGCTATTTTACTGGATGGAAAGAGGGAGAAAAGCTCAAAAAGAGAGCTTGGCTTCTTTGAAGGTAGAAAGCGAATGCAGATCTTGCTAAGCTTGGATGAGGACAAACATTGAGAGATGAAGGAGAGGATGGAGAGCGAAAAGTTTAAAAGCCCCACCTCATCGGAAGAGGAACTCAAAGGATTCAGTACATCTGTCTCAACATTATTAGTAAGTTGCTGTCTTTAATCCTTGTTGTTGTTATTGTTGTTGTTGTTAGTTGCGAAGTCGTGTCTGACCCATCGCGACCCCATGGACAATAATAATAATATTTTTTATTTGCGGTCACAGACCAAAATGCAAGTGCAACAAAAGAAAACACAAGTAAATATAATCACAAACAACCCCATGGACAATGTTCTTCCAGGCCTTCCTGTCCTCTGCCATCTTCTGGAGTCCATTT